TTTTTTTTTATTTTCTTGAGTTGGTGTCTCACTCTGTTGCCTAGACTGGAGCGCAGTGGCACACTCACAGCCACCGCAGCCTCAACCTGCTGGGCTCCGGCGAGCCTTCCGCCTCAGCCTTCCAAGTAGCCAGAACTACAGGTATGTGCTGCTATGCCCAGCTACTTTTTGATTTATTGTAGAGATGAGGTCTCACCAAGTTGCCCGGGCTGGACTCAAACCTGCAGACTCAGGCGATGTGCTGACCTCGGCCTCCCAAAGTGTTGGGACTGCAGACTGAGCCATGGAGCCCAGCCAACACGTTGTTTTAAACACTTCACAGCAACAACACAAGCGGGAGTACTGCAGAATTAGAACAGCTGTCTTGAAGCCTACTTCATTCTAGAAGTTTATGGAATACTTTGACATCAGAAGTATCCAAGTCAAAACCATTCAAAGCTGAGAACAAGGAGCAGAATAATATTCCTGCAGACAAAGCCAGGCATAAAGGCATGGCTGCAAGACAAGCAGAAAACCAGAGTTCAAAAGCTGTATGCTTAAACATGACCCAAAAAACATAAAGAAAATGACACTAGACATGAAAGGCATAAATCAGAGTTAGAAAAACTCAGAAATAACATAAGTCAGGAGAGAACTGGAAGTGAATGAATCACTTTCAGAAATCAGTACTGAAAGTGAAAGATACAGATAATGCCAAGTGGAAAAGAGAAGGATTGTATAAAATAAAAAGGAAGAAAAGATTGGAAGACTTAGGAAAGGGACACTGATGAAGATAAGCCAAAAAGATCAGGGAGGCAGATGACATTGAAAAAGTGATGGGCTGAGAGTGACTGACACCAAAAAGTACCTTAGGAAATGTGCTGGATTTCTGAGAAAGAAAAATTCTTGGGGTGTCCAGGAAGGAAAATCAGGCTTTTGGAGGACTGAGTTTTATGCCAGAAGAAAATGGAATAATAAAGATTTCTCTAGGAAGGAGGAAGTCAAGGATTTTTATATCTAGCAAAACTGACCTTCAAGTATAAAGGTTGCTGATACAGCTGTCAATGTGCATCAGCTCAGGGAATGCTGTTCCTCTAACCCTTCCCTAGTTATCCAGAGAGGGAACTTCTGATGGCGTGGCTCAAGATCTCGTTCATCTGCTGAGCCAAGACTAACAAGGTAAAGGGATGATATGTATTGTCCTGTGCTCTGACAGCATATAGATCACACAACTGTTTTTCAACTGGGCACAGTGGCTCGTACCTATAATCCCCGCAGTTTGAGAGGCTGAGGTGGGAGAATCACTTGAGACCAGACGTTTAGGACCAGCATGGCTCCTGAGTTTAAAAATTGAGACCCTGTCTGTATAAAACAATTTTTTTTCTTGGCTACTCTGAGGGCTGAGGCAAGAGGATCCCTTGAGTCCCGGAGTTTGAGGCTGCAGTGATCCACGATTGTACCACTGCACTCCAGCCTGGACAACAGCAAGACACTGTCTCTCTTTTTTTTTTTTTGAGTTGGAATCTCACTCTGTCGCCCAGACTGGAGTGCAGCAGCCGCTCCCAGCCACCGCAGCCTTGACCTGCTGGATTCCGGCGATCCTTCTGCTCAGCCTTCCGAGTAGCCGGAACTATAGGCACGCACTACCACGCCTGGCTAGTTTTTGATTTATTTTTTGAGATGAGGTCTCGCCAAGCTCCCCAGGCAGGTCTCGAACCCACGGGCTCAGGCAATCCACTCACCTCAGCCTCCCAAAGTGCTGGGATTACAGGCTGAGCCACCGAGTCCGGCTAAGACACTGTCTCTTAAAAAGGTGGGGAGGGGGAGCAGAATGGGGAAACATAAAAATTTGTTGTTTTAGTAACTCTATTAATTGGCAGTATTAGCACTGTTATTTTGAGAGTTTTGGTTTAGTAGCATGTGACAAAACAAATGAGTCATTCTAGGCTATTCTATCTCCAGTGTGTCCTGTGTCCAGGAAAGAGGTTAAATAAAAGCTCTATAGTCTCACATTCGAACTGGGGGGTCAGTATGAAATCACGAGGTATTTTCATCTTTATGTGTGTGTGTTTCTAAGTATGTTGACTTCTACTTTGCAACGAAGACCAACACATTAACAGAATCTCCAGCCTCCAGACTGTCATCTTGGAACATCGATCCTCACGGAAGACACCAGGCATTCTTGTTGATATGGCTGATCCCAGGTCTGGGGCAGTAAATGTGCAAAGTGAACCTGGGTATCTTGTCAAATCAGATAGGAAAGAAGCGATCCGAGACTCCTGGGGTCACGTCCAAAGGACTCGGTAGCTGACTCGACGAGGCTCCCACTGGCCAGGTCTGGGACGAGTTGAATTTCAGTAATAATAATGGCAGTGGATGGGGACCCCGTGAATGTTGAGATTCATGAGTTGGTAATTTTAATATAAAGCAATTTTGGATATGGGGAACAATTATTTCGAACACTGGTAAATAAAAAGCAGGTCTTTATCCCTGCTCATTCTGTAAGTGCCCATGAAGGTACTCCAGCTACCAGGAACCGGGATGGCTGAGTGGTTAAGGCATTGGACATAAGTACTCCAACTAGTATGTATGAAAGATATGATAGGAAAACAGCATTTTGCAGCCCTAGTGAATAGATACAGGTATTAAGCTTCATCAGCCTCCCAGAGCATGAAAAAAGAGGCAGGTGTCCTGGGTCTCCTGGAGACCCCAGTTTTGTCAGCGCCAGCCTCCCTAGTGGATCCTGTCTGAATCCAGCTGCCAATTTGCAGGAAATACAGACACTGAGGAATGTGTTGAACT